TGCAAGTGTGGTTTAAGGTAACTTTTTGTACGTACGTTTAGGTGCTGATTTTTAAGAAAAATGTTAATCTCATTTACAAAACTGGGCTTCCTATACACTTCTGTGACAAACAGGGAGGTTCTGCAGCCATACGCTTCCTTCCCCTTGTGCTAACACCCTCCGTGCCTGTCTGCAGGGTACTTTGTTTGCTTTGTCACTGGGATCAGAGCCAGAATCTAGCAACCACCGTGGTGACATGGAAGATGCCTTACCTCTCAAGCTTTATTTTCTTTTTTCCTTTGAGTAGATCTGATATGATATACCTTCCATAATAATGGATGGTGTGGAAATTAGCTAATGAACCAAAGCATGTAGTATTGATGCTCTTTCTATAGCTGCTGAGACTTCTAGAAAGGCACGTTGTCATACCGAAGGATAATGCATTAACTACCGGTAACTTTTTAAAACAGGGTATTCCAAATGCTGCTCATGTAAGTAATAACATGAGCGCTCCAGCCTTGCCTGCTCCAACGGCAGTCCTGGGGAACGTGGGAACAGTTCAGGGACCAAGTTCGGGTAATGCGACGTCGTCAAGTCACATCAAGAGCTCTAATGCAGCTGTAAAATCAGGAGAAAACAAAGCGAGTGTAACAGTGGAAGCCAGTGCAGATAGCTCGAAGAAGGACCAGGCAAGTTCAAAGTTCCGAGTATATTTATATGTAATGGGTTTTATATTTATATATAAAACATATATAAAAAATTTTACATATTATATAGTTCTATAAATTTTGATATACTAAAAAATAGCAAACTATGACAATACCCCTTCTGTGTAATATACTTGATACCATCGTGTATGCGATACTTTCGTGGCGGCTGTAGGACATAAACTAGCAAGCTGACTCTTTTTAATGTAGTCTCCTTTAAAGCAGCACTATTATGAGTATTACTTCAGTTGCTGTGTGACAACATTCTGTTCTTCGTAAAACACAGGCAGCTCTCGTGAGAGCTGAAATGTGAGTGAGGGGAGCATGGTTTTCTAGTCTTCCGTAGTAACTTTTTTCCTGTAAAGTTTTAATTTGTGATTGGTAAAACGATACATATGCAGGCAGTGTGAAAAATAACACTCAAGTTTGTTTTTTCATCAGAAATTGTTAATTCAAGAAAAAGCGGCACAAGAGGTCAAACTAGCTATTAAACCTTTCTACCAAAATAAAGACATCACTAAGGAAGAATATAAAGAAATTGTGCGGAAAGCTGTAGATAAAGTAAGTTGATCTAGTAATCTGAAGTGCACACATTTCAATTGAGGTAGGGTTTGGGGTGGATTTCTTCATCTTGTGGGAACAACTGGTAGTTGCTGGGAGAGGGAATAGGAAAAGCGAAAATACCTTTGTCTCCATCCACGAGAGCTTTCGGAGCTCCTCGGAACAGAACTCGTTTATTGTGTGAAAGAGTCGAATGGGAATTCAGAAGTATTTGGGAAGCAACTGGGAAGTAGCAGGAGTTTCCAAAGTTGTTCTGCCTGAGATGGAGAAACCTGGGGTGTTGGGGAAATAAATAAATGATGTGGAACAGTGGCAAATCAACAGGAATGTTTCAAACATTTTTTTCTTTAAAACTGTTGTAGGTTTGTCATAGCAAGAGCGGAGAAGTTAATTCTGCAAAAGTGGCAAATCTAGTGAAAGCGTATGTAGACAAATACAAACACTCACGGAAGAAAAATCCCGAAGAGGCAGTCTCCTGTGAAAGGAAATAGAACATGTTTTCAGTTTTTAATTTTATTCTATCTGCAAAGTGCAATTTCAACATGAACCGTTAACTGAAAATTGTACATGACAGTGATTTGAATCTGGTTTTGATAAAATTATTTTTCAATGTAGTATATAATGTTTTGTTCTAAAGAAATATAGATCTACAGGGCAACTTCTTTATTCCTTTTTAAAAACAGATGTCTAAAAAAAAATAAAGGTGTAAAGAAGAATCATTAGGAATGTACGATTGTGTGGATACTTAGATGTACAGCATTTTGACTTGAATAAGAGTGCATTAAATTAGAAACTTCTGTCTGAGTACGTTGGTTTTGGAACAGGTATGTACAGTACATGTAATCGGTCAGATTAAAGTAAAATTTTTCTTTTGATTTCTCCCTAATTATAGCAAAGATTAAAATAATGTATTGCCTTGACAAATATTTCTAGCGTTAACTGGACAGGCTGAATGCAGGGGTCACAATGTGTATATAAAAAAAGCACATGGAGTTGTCTGAACAGAAGAACTGTTTAGATTTTAAAAAGAAAAATCATAAACAGTAAACCGCAGTGCCCAAAACCACGGGCGCTGCACATCTGTTGTAACACCAAATAAAAATTATGCTGCTTGGTTTCGTTTGTGACGTTTTTCAATTTGTTTCAAGATAGTGGGATGAACTTGAATAACTTTTATGTGCTGAAAGCCCTCAATCACCACACACTGACAACCTCAGTTCATGTCTAACCCTGCCCTCAGCTAGTAGGGAATTAGTGTGCTAGAGCTGGATGTTCAGAAAGGTAAACCAGTTTCTTCAAGTAAAATCAAGAAAGCTGGAATTTGTTAGTAGGCTCCCGCTCGATCAGAGACCGCCAGCTGTGCCAATCTTAGCTGTGTAATACTTCTTCTTTGTTAACTAGGGACTGTGGCGTGGATCACCAGCCTGGTATCGTTGCATCTGCGCAGTCTGAAGTCACATGCAACAGCTTTTCTACTTCCCCGGGCACTTTTATGTAGAGAGGTTAGTAGAGGTACCACGAGCATTTTAAAAGCAGATGTGGGGTCGTTGAATGTGCTAGGGGAGTGCTTACACCTAAGGTAAAACCGGTTTTACTGAGGTAGCGGCAGGGAGAGTTGCTGAAACACTGTCACTGCGTGCTCCTTATGGAAAGAACAGCTTGGGATCCGTCCGGATTTGAGTGGAGGAGGAGCCTTACTCTGAGATTTACCCTGAGATAGAAATATTTGTTCCCTTACTCTCACAGTGCTATTAAAATTTCAGCGCTCCCCCTCCAGTCCTGCCGTGCGGTAACAACCTTTGGTGTTGGCTCAGCCTGGCTTCTGCTCCAGCCCAAGGTCTCCTGGCCCAAAAGCATGAATAAAACATTTTGACAGAAAGTATCGATCGAGTTTTCTGAGAAATTATCTCTTCCTAGCCAGTAGTTCCCAAATTAACTTTTCTTGGCAGAAAACAGTCTTACCTGTAAGTAACTTTTGGAGAAGCCTGAGGATGAAATAAGGGATATACACCCCTGTACACACACGTGATGAGAGAGAGAGAGAGAGATGTGTAAAAAATGTGCTGTTTGTCACAACAGTTGATCGCTTGGTTTTAACTATAACTTTCTGCAGACTTAATGAAGCATTTCACTGTCTATATTTATTTTTGTGTGCCTAAATAAAAATACTATGTAAATTAGAAACAGATATAATACATTTTCTACAGTCAAGCCAGGTTTTAGATTTTTCAAAATACTCAGTTTTACACTGTGGTAGCAATTTGTATGATCTCTTGAACTATTTTAAGCTAAAATTGGTTAGCACTTTTTGAAAAATGTTGTAGCAAATTGCTATGTCTATCCTGGTTTATCACGCCATGCGTACTTATTTTTATTACATTTTCCTTCTGAATTTTTGGATTTTAATGACTTTTTATATCTTTTTACTCTATACAGTTGAGCCTTGCTATAAAGCTCCTTTCAGGAGCCAGATAAATGTTTTGTGGGGTTTTTTTTTTCCCTTTTAGAGGAGAGGTGGAAATTGGGTGGGAAGGAACAACGGAGGATCTAAACTGGGAGAGGGGAGGGGACGTTAATTTCTTGTTTTGCAGCTCCTGGCTGGAAGATAAGCTGTCACTTGCTGCCACGTTGTTTGGGCAGTGACTATAGCGATGCTCCACTGTATTTCAAAACGTAATGAAGAATATCGGATAGAGTAGCATGTGATCAGTAACTTTCTTTTTTACGATTAAATACTTCAGAACTTGTCAGAAAATATGCATTTCGTTACAATTTCTGTGTTGAATTAAAAAAAAACACATTGCCTTAATACGTAGACTCTCCTCCTATTTTTCCTGAAAGCAGCGAGGTCTCTGTTGGTGCAACTGCCCGAGAAGGCACGTACTTTAACCTTGTAGTCACGTTTTTGTTAAAATAGTATGAAAGCTGTATTTCTATTTATTGAAATTCCTTGTACTGAAAGTCCCAAGATGCACTAGCACTGAAGGCAAAGTGATGGGGACGCTGAGCCCCGTCGATGCCTCTAGGGTGTCGGTAATTCATTCGATCCAAATTGCCTTGAGGAAAACAATTGCTAAACTGTATACCTTCTGTGAACTTACGCGAATCAAAAGGGTTTTCCTTGCACTCCTTCCACTGTCTCACTGTGCATGCTGCTTGAATGTCTCATCCTAAAGATGTATCTTCGGAGCACAGTGGCTGTCCAAAGTCCACAATATGGTGTTTGTAGCGTAAGGCTGGAGTGCTGTCTACTGAAAAAATACTCTAAAAACTAGTTTTGTGTAGTGCTTAACAGTTTCTAATAAATTCTTTTCACTAAGCTGCAAGTAGTCCGTGTTTGGTCTTAAATGATTCTGGCTCTAGTGGTTTTAATTCAGAATGCAATGTAAGTACTATTACTTCTGTACGTATGCACCTTTAACCTTGTTCTGTGTTGTCTGGGCTCCCCCTCCTTTGCGTCTGGTTTGTTTTCAGTCAGTCCGTCCTCGCCCTGCCTTGCCCGTCTGCAGATGGCTGCAAGCTGAAGGAAAACAAATGCATGTGGCAACGCGTCCATTTACTGCGAGTGCTGCGGCGGGGACTCCAGGTACCGGGTCTTGCAAAACGCTGTGGGGCTGGGGGTGTGTTGGAGTCTGCTGCGTGGACCAGACAAGGGCAGGGCTCAAACCAGCTAGGCCATGTCCTGCACGCTAGAAGTGCCGATCAAAACAGTGGGCTTCATTGAAATAGCCCACTGGGAATTTAGCACGTGATCTCCTACCTTCCTTGGGAGCTGTATTCCAGGCACCGCTTTACCTTCCAGGATTAACCCCACTGTACGTTGATGAGGTACCTCCACAGGTAATGCAGACACAAGCTGTGCGAGAGCCTGCTGTCCTTCGAGCTGGCTGGCCGCCTGCGCTGTGGAATTCAGAGGAGCTTTGTTAGAGTTGTGTTGGTTTGGCTGGGTGATAACATCCCACGTGGGAAAGGATGGTCTTACCTTGGTGCTGCTCACGTTGTGTCTTGGTTCTGTGTTTACTAAAGGTGCCCTAATAGATGGGCACGTGGTCTTAGGAAAGAGCACAGCACTTTGAGGAGCAAGGGTGGAAATCAAGGTCGAGACTCAAGTGGCTTGGTGAGGGTGTTCCCTGGGGAGAGGGAGGCTTAGAGGTGTCAGTTCCTTGAGGCCAAGTCTTCAGAAGGAAGAAGAGCACTGGGAGGCACGTCCTGCAGCCGTAGTCACCTAGTGAAGCTGGGCTAGTGAGACCAACTCCTGGTGTGTTACTCCAGGAAGGGTTTTGTCACTCATGAGTGTCAAGTTGCCTCAAGTAGATGGAGATACAGTTAAGAGCACTGCATTGGAGGCTGAGGGAAGACATGCTGGAGGACAGTATTTTCAAGAAAAGATAGTCTTGAAGAGGAAAGTTATTTAAACCAACTGACTGCAGTTAATTAGTTAAAAATTTATTGCCTGAGTTGTAAGCCAGTCTTACTTCCATGTGCCTGCTTGGGGCCATGGACCTTTTCAAGCATCCTAGCAGCGAAAATCACCACTTCATCTATTGTTGCAAAGGGCTTTTCAGTACATCAGGTTGTCTTAAGCTATGTCCACCGCCCCCTCCTTGGTCTGCACCTGCACTTGGCTGCAAGCCGCACACAGGCGTCACAGAAGTTGATTTTTGCACATGCGAAGATCTTGATCTGCATCTTGTGAATACATGCACTCAAGCTTAAGCAGGGGAGGAGTTTCATGCATTTAAAATCAAATTACTTCCGTGTCAGGAGCACCGTCTGCCTGGTCTCCTCAAAGGGCGATTACTGCATTGAGCAAACTGGTGGGGAGGAAGGGTGTCTCGTTTTGGATCTGAGCAGCGTCGGCACCACCAGGACAGAACCGTTTCTGAGCGTGAGCAGGCCCAGAACATGTGAAGAGGAGAGACACGGGGGGGCAAACGGCAGGGGCAGAAGTAGCTCTTTAGTCAGGACACGTAATTTTTGCTGAGCGAGTGCCATCGCAGTCTGGTTTATGCAGCTAAAGCCTTTCTGGATCCCACCTCTGCAAGTAGTGCCTTGAAATCTTTACTCAGTTTTGCTATGGAGATCACTCTGCTGGAGTCTACTGCCAAGAAAAGGGTTCGGTTTTTCCCCAGAAGCCACAGCATCGTAACACAGCAGCGTGTAAAACAAATACGTTGATTGGAAAGGTGAACTTACACCTTTTGAATCACGGCGATGAAACTAGTCTGGTGAAGATCTTCATTATTATTAAGTATTGCAATATTCACATCATTAATCAGTAGTTTATAAAAAAGTAGAGACGAGTAAGGACAATAAAGTAGATGATTACTGAATTGGCTATTAAAGAGTACTTATTAGATGCAGCAGCTTTCAAAATAATGAATGGAGCACGTATGAAGATTTTTCTAAAAACCACTAATGTTGAGATTAAAAAAAAAAAGCATGATTAACTACTTGCATAAAAGGAGCTGAATCTGTGAGAAGGCAGAGGCTGGGATATGGAACTTGACTTCAACTTGACTCTTACTTTTCCAGTATTACTCAGTCACAACTCCCAGAGACACACACCAACAGTAAGCTTTCAACCTGCTCTTCATTTTCATAGACTTGTTTGTGCAATAAATACAGGGGATTACAGCAATGCAGTAGATGCTCATTACCCACAGTAAACAATCAAACCCAGAGTGGAATCCAACACAGAGAAAAATTACTGCAGGAGCCAAACCCAAGGAATTTTGGCAGCAGGCTGCCATATAATTAGTCCTAAAGTGTTGCAGAAATTAAACCTACAACCACTGAATTTTTTATGACGAGCATCAATCAAAAATAGCCAGGGATTCCTAGATGCGATAGCAGGTGGAATTAAAGAAATAACAACCCTTGGAAGTCAGAGTTTACCTATAAATTCTAGAGCCTTTTACAGAAATTCAGGGCTCTTGGGGACCGGGAAGGTAGCTTACACATGGCGGGTAGAGTCTCTTCTAACACAAGACACAAACATTGCTGCCTTTTTTCTCTCCACGAGCGCAGAGATTTGCAGTGCAGATGTTTATCATCAGGAGCGCTAATGGCCAAAACATGGCCACTGGCTCACTCTGCCCAAAGCCAAGAGGAGGGCGGCGTTTCTCCCGCCGTGGGCAGCGGGAGGACCAGGGACCCCCGGCGTTGCCTGCAGGCGTGAAGCCCCAGGGCACACACGCACCCAAAAGGAAACCCCTCGTTAGAGAGCATCTAGAAGAAAAGGCTGTCACACGCTCAGGTTGCTCAGTCGTCATTATTTACCACTACTATTTTACCATGGTAGTTAAATGACTGTATCAGACTGATAAATTCTTAAGCTATTCCCCCTGAAAATATGATGACGTAGCTTGGAGGTACAAGATCCACCTCTGGTTTGATTGTCTTTGACTAATGCCAATACACTACGGAGCTGCAGCTCCTTGTGCAAAGCACATGGCTTTCCTACGTAACCTCAACATCCCTGAAACACGAGGGATTAAATAACCAACTCGGGGTGTGGGAGACCCTCCTCACCGGGAGGATTCAACCCCCACCTCCCTCCCGCTGACACAGTGTAGCTCTGCAGCCACATCGAGCCAAAGAGGGCACAAGGAGATGGACTGACTTCCGTGGCCTTGTGTCAAGCCCTAAGCTCCAGCCTGGTGTCCCAGGGCAGCTCCTAGAGAGGAATTCAACGACTATTTAAATTTAAAAGAGTTCTAATAAACATACAGCGCTACTTGGTATTGGGGGAAATAATACAAAACACACACAACCACGCAGCGTAGGCACCTTGTGTTACATGGGTTGTGGGCAAGTGGATTAAATTTTTGATGCACTGTGTGTCGTACTACGGGGTTAGCCGTAGGTCAGCTGGCCAAGACTTCACAGACGCTTATGACAGGAGGTTTGAAGTTGTGACCCTTCTAAACCCTACCGAGGCCAGGTGACAGAGGTGGGACAGCCCCACCGGCACACTGCGGCACCCAGAGCAGCGACAGAGCTCTCGGGTTGTGAAGGTTACATCCCATCTGAGTAGCGCAGGGAGACGCACCCAGAACAGCACCCACCCCATTTCTTCATCAGCCCGATGACATCTAATGGAATGATGTAATCATATTAACTTTCGTAATGGTGCAGGCTCCCTGTTTCTAAGATCTTATTCCAAAGGAAAAAGCAGGGAGTACTGGCCCTTCTTCCTCCCTTACCGCTCCCTTCACCAGAGACTGGCAAGGCGACTGAGCTCCAGCTACCCTTCCCGGGGTTAGCCAGCGAGGAGCCCACCGAGGCCAGCAGCAGAACTGGGATGAGGGTACAACCTCCCATCCCGCAGGACGTGTTTCATACTTACGATTCACCGCGTAACTCCATCCTAAACAATAGAAACACAGGGCGCCCTGCCCAAAGATAAGGAACAAGCAGCCATTTGGGTATCAGAAAAATTCTCTCTTAGCCAAGACAGCAAGTTACCTGCGGACAAGTGGATTTAAAAACCCCAAACAACAAAACCAGCAAACCCTCTCAAAATGGAGTTTGCAACAAATCCGCCTAAAAGGTATTCAAAGCCTACCTTAAAACAGTTGTCCAAAAGCCACCCAACATAGGAGCGGACGATAGACCTTACCATGAATACATCTTTATGAGATTTTTGCTATTCTAATATTGCATTTCTTTTAAGGTAAAAAGCCATCAGCTTATCCTGCCTTTTTAAAGGTATCGGCTCAGATGATTACTCTCTGGTTATCTTACCACAGACGGGGAGAATCCAAGACACAAATGGCAACGATGTTGTGAGAAGCAGCAAATTATGATACAACCATGTGAAAACCGGCAGGCTATTAAGACCAACCCAAGATAGTTTTGAAGTTGCGGTAATTTAAGAACATGTTGCCATCTCGCCACAAACAAACTGGTGGTAACTTCACTCGTAACAATCAGCCCCGAATTCTCCGCCACCTGAAAACGATTCACAAACTCAAACTGCTCCGTGTGAAACCCCCCTCGCCCAACGGATCCAGCTACGCGCAGTTCACCCCCTCCAGAGCTGCAGCCCTGAGCGCGCAGGCGCACCCTCTGCCAGGCAGAAGGACCTTTTGGCTCCACAACCTTCAACTCGCTGCCCGCGCCAGACGCTGCGGGCTGCGCAGACATCACGTTACCCAGCAAGCGAAAGGATATCAGCCACAAAGATCTCTGCAGCCACCCATGCAAGGAATGACTGACAGCCTAATAACTACCTGGTAAAAAAGGCAGAGGAGGGAGAAAGAGCGCGACAGGATGATTACAGGTATCCCTAGCTGTTGCACAGCATCGTATCACAAT